TGTGATGGCAAATCAAATACAATGAGCAGGAAACAACTCCAACTGCAGTCAAACCTGGTGGCCCCAGAGCTATGGTGTTCGCTTTACTCTTTCATCTACCTCTTCACTTCACAGTGGGCACTTACTGTGCGAGGCCTTCCCTTTGTCCCTTGCTAAGCAGCCTCCAGTGGAGAGACTTCCATAGCTGGTAAAATGGAGGGAGCTGACTTCCTTCCCCTCAGGGGCCCATGGATTCCACGTGCCCGGAAGTCCACTCCTCCTGGTGAGTGTGTGCGTTGTACCATCTCTCACGGAATCGAGTTGGAAAGTTCAGGCTGGGGCAGATATCGTGGCTCAGTGAGCTGGGCCCCCACTTGGAAGATGCTGACATCCCATATCAGAGTGCTGATTTGAGTCCTGGCAGCTCTGCTTCTGATCCAGCTTCCTGCTAATGCACCTGAGAAAAGCAGCAGAAGATGGTCCAAGGGCTTGGGCCCCTGGACCCTCATGGGAGATCCGGAAGAAGCCCCTGGCTCCTGGCTTCAGCCTGGTCCAGACCTGGCTGTGTGGCCACTGGAGAAGTGAACTCTCCCTCCTCCTCTCTCCCTGCTTCTCCCACTCTGTCTCTCTCGCTCTCACTCTCCCTCTCTCTCTCTTCCTTTCAAATCAATCAGTCTTTTAAAGAGAGACAAGTTCAGGCAGGGGAAGAGGAGAAAGGAAAGTCGTTTACTTTCAGAAGCCAACTATTCCATTTAGGGTGATGGAAATCGCCACCTGTTCACTTCCTGGCCACTTTTCTGAGTTTCCTTCCTAGTCATTTAACTGTTTGATAAAAGCTCAACTAATAAGTGGCCCGGAACAAAGGCATTTTCCGCTAAATAAGCCCATTGCTCAGAAGTCCTTCTTCCAGGAGGTTTGATGAGGGGATGAAACTACTGAGGGAACCTACACATCTGTTTGTCATCTGTGAGCGTGGAGAAAGAAGGATGCACAGCTTGCAAACCGCGTGACACCTGTGGCTCTCGGCCTCTTCCCATAGCATCCCTGCCTCTTGGGGATTCCCCACTGTGTGAATGACAGCCCCAGGACCCCGCAATCTGTGCGGTCAGTAACATTGTGCCAGTGGAGTGGGGAGAGGATCTCTCAAGGCCATCCTGACCTGGCAGCCATATGTGGACAATTATGTCTTTCGTGTCCTTTTGTCTTGACCAGAGAAAAGCACCATGCTTTTGAACCAGTCTAGCCTGTGGGTCTTTTGTGAGAAATATGAAAAGATTGTTTCCACCAGACCCTTTTTCAGGAAACACTGCAGAGCAAAAGTTGGACATTTAAATCCACGCCATCAGAGGGGTCGCTCTCTCAGAAATCCATCACTGAGAAAACTGCATGTGAGCACCTAATATTGGCTAGTTTCTGGGGGTGACTTTTTACAAATGTTGAAAACTTACAGCATAGTTGGAGAGGTGGATTATAGTGTTTACAATGACTAATTATGCAAGATTATGCTAAATGCCTCATGTATGACACGAATCAGAAGTTCTGGAAAAGTCTAAAAGAAACTCCAGTCTTAGGCAATCAAGGAAGCCTTTGCTACCCGGAAGACTTGAACTCAGCCTTGAACAATGGCTGAGCATCAGTTAAAGAGGCTGGAGAGGGGTGAATTCCAGCCGGGTGGAGCTGGGTGAGCAGAATCGTGGTGGGATGCATATGGCATTCTCACAGGAAGCTGAGCACAAAGAGAGCACCCCTCGAGTTTGGGCGCATTTTGAGAGGCAGGAAGGGCGTGGCTGGAGCCTTTCACCTCTGGAATCAGATCTGGCGATTGTCCCCCCACACACACCCTCCTGTTGAGCAGAATGCACACTTGGACATTATGAGGAGCTCCTGTGAGACTTTTCAGATGTGCTCAGTCTGCTGAGGGAAAATGCATGCATAGGGAGAAGCAAGTTCTGTAGTCTGCAGGAAGTGCAACCATGGAGATATTCCCAGGATGGGAGCTGGAAGAGGCAGAGCAGGAGCCTCAGCCCGGCCTGGTGTGTGGCATCTAGAAGTTTCCTGGAGCAGACGTTTAAGAGTTGAGTCTTAAAGGTTGGACTTGGACCAGGCGTTTGGCCTAGCAGTTAAATTGCCCACGTTCCACTTTGGAGGGCCTTGATTCACATCCTGGTTCTTACCCTGATTCCAGCCTCCTGTCAGGGCAGAGCCTGGGATGGCTCAGGTCCTTAGGTCCATGCCACTCATGTGGGATCTGGATCGAGGTCCTAGGTTCTGATTTCAGCCCTGGGCTCAGCCTGGCTGTTGCAGGTATCTGGGGGAGTGAACCAGTGAATGGGAGCTCTCTCTGTCTCTCTGCCACTGAAATAAATTAAAACAAAAAGGTTGGGGCCAGGCTTCGCTGGGCACAGAATGAGAGGGAGGGCATTCTTGGCAGAGGGAATGACATGAGGTAAGACACAGCAGTTTGCAACAGCATGCCCTGTGGGAGCATTGTCAGCTTTTCAGAGACGGCCAGAGAGCACATGGGTACCCAGGGGCCTGGTTCCTGATCTTGTGTTCTGTCAGATGGGTATTTGTCCCCTTGCTGAAACAGCTGGTCCAGCCCAGTTGTTTTCCTTAGAATCTGATCTCCCTTACTTTCCACCCTTCTGTATTCAGAGTAAGGTCCTAAGAAGCGGTTCTGGTAACTGTGTATCGTGGTTCATGGTAATTGTGTATCGCAGTTCATGGTAACTGTGTCCAGCCAAGATTCTTAGAAGGAGAAAAAAAAAGAGGCCAGAGATCCTCAGGTGGCCATGATTTTGAGGCAAATGTCATTCCCAGAGCTAGAGGCACGGGCTTCACTGGAAGGAGTTTTGTGGGTTTTTTTCTTTTGGGGGGGGGGTCTTTTTGTTTTGTCTTGTTTCTGTGTTTGCTCAAGTTGGGAGTTTAAATGAAGCCTCAAACAGGGGATGGAAGCCCGCAAAGTGTTCTCTCTCTTTCCTTTATCGGAGGCAAGCTTGTGCTTGGAGTACAAGCGCTGTTCCACACAGTGATACAGCTGGGGTTGTTGCTCATCACCCACGGACACGTGCCAGGCTGTTGCTTGTGCATAGATGTTGTTGCCGCTGGAGTGATGCCGCTTCGGTCACCCGAGGAAGTGCAGTGCAGTCATCTGGGGCTGTTGTTAAATGAACTTGATAGAACCGTGCCCTACAGGACGATGCACTGAGACTAGGTCACGGCAAGAGGGGAGAGGAGAAGAGAGGAGGCCTCTGCTGGTGCTTGTTCGGGGCTCGCCTCGCTCTTCACAGACCAGTCTGCAATGGAGTCTCCAAGGCGCTCTCCAGCCTCGGCCCCTTCTGATCACGTGACACTAAGATGCCAGGTCTCTTCTCAGCTCAGGGCCTCTGTGCAGTCTGGTCCTGGGTAGTTGTTCCCTCTTCTCTTTGCTGAGTTAGCACCTGCTCCGTCTTCATGTCTCAGCTAGATCAGCCCCAGCTCGTAGACTGCGAGGAGTGATGTTCTCCTAACTCAGGGTCCCGGTGTGAGTAACACCGAGTAGTACTCACTGCGTAACCACTGTGGACATCTTTGTGGAGTGTCTGTCTTCTTACGAGAAGGTGAGCTCCGGGCCAATAGGATGGCGTCTGTTTTGCGCACTGCTGCACCTCTGATGAGCGTTCATTAGGGAAGTTGTCCAGTTACCATGGATGGAAGGAAGGGAGATTGGAAGACAAGAGTGTGGAAGTGACTCCACTTGTGTGTCAGCATGCATCTCTGTGCCTCACTGCTAAAGGGAGCTCTAATGAGGCGTGGTTGATGGTTATCCATCTTGTAAGTTTAAACGTATGCCTGCACCCCTGAAACCATCACCACAATCAAGGTGGCGAATATGCCCATCACCCCCAAAATGTTTCTCCTGGTACCCCTCACCCACCCTGAAGTCTGCCTTCTCTCACTGTGGTTTGCGTGTGTTCTGTGGCGTTCTACCCCAGTGGATTCACACAGTATGGACTCACTGGCATCTTTGGTGCACCGTGATAACCTTGAGATCCACCCGTGTTACTGTGGGTATCACTAGGTGGTCTCTTTACTGCTGCGTGGTATTCCACTGTGTAAATATATCTGACTTGTCTATCTATTCCTCTGTTGGTAAATACTTGGGGGAGGGGTTTCAAGTTTGGGGTTCTTACAGTGTCTATGAAGAGTCTGTTCATGTGCAGTATCTGTGGACTGGTTGTTACGTCTCTATGAACTTTGTGTGAGAGTTTTCGCCTGGACATATGCTTTCATTTTATTCTTAAGTAGAAGGGTTGGGTTTGTGTGGCAGGTGTGAATTTAGTTTTGTAAGAAACTATGTACAGTTCCTTACCCCACCCCCGTGAGGATTGCTGACTTGTTTCTAAAGTGTGTAAAAGGCGAGCAGGAGTGTGATGGGAACTCGGAGAGTTACAATGATGAGGTCACACCAATGCAGTCTAGGAAACAGCAGGGCTCGAGGCGGGGGTCCGGATTCTCCTGCTCGGTGTACATCACACAGTGCCTCCACTGACGTGTCTTCCCCGGGTGATTCCAGGCCTTCTGCAGGTACTGAAGAGCTCGTCGTGAGGCAGCAGGTCCACTCTTCGAAAAACGTCTTTCTTTCTTTCCTTTTGTGAGAGACAGAGGCACAGACAAGAGGGATCCAGCTAGGCAGGAAGGCAGCTCCCATCTGCTGGTTCACTCTTTACCTGCCCTCAGCAGCTGGGGCTGGGCGGGGGCCTGGAACCAATCCAGGTCTCCCATATGAGTGGCAGGGATCAGTTACTGAAACCATCACCTGTGGCTTCCTGGGGTCCGCATTGTCCAGAAGTTGGGGCCAGGAATGGGACCCAGGTGCTTGATGAGGGAGGGACCATGCATCTTACCTGCTCAGCTAAACGCCCATTCCTAAGGTGTATGTTTACCTGCTGTGCACATGTTCTTCCCTGCCTGTACCCTCACCCTCCAGAACCCCCTGCGAAAACCCCAAACCCTCATCAGTTTGTCTCTGTTTTCCTCAGGGGACACTTGAACTGGCTCCAGCTAGATCGGAGGGTGTTGGAACATGATTTCCCTAAGAAGTCCGGACCCGTGGTGTTGTACTTCTGTGTCAGGTAGGTACGCCTGGGAGCCACACTCTGACGTCTTCATTGTTTCTTTTTCTTCTTTGCCAGAAGAGCCTAGGATGCTAGAATGGTTCAAAGGAAAGGGAGAGCAGGGTGGTCTCAGTTCATTGCCAGTTCTGAGGGTCTTTGCTTGGCTCCCTTGCCAGTGGCTGGAAACCCAGGAGTGTGTAAGGCATGCCAGTATGTGTGCATGGGCACACGTGTTTGCGTTCTTGGTTGGAGCGAAGACGAAAGCTTTTGTTAAAGGCGTTTATGTATCACCAGCTAACCTGAGCCTCTTACAGGACATGCCCTGGGATTCTTTCCTGGTGACAGTCTGCAGTGCCACAACAAAGCTCTGTGTCTTCTTTCCTTCTCTCTCCAATGCCACTTGAGACTCTTGCCTGTTGTACCCCCATAGTGGCATAGTTGAAACCCAATGGCAAACCACAGGTCAGCACACTTCCTGGCAAGGGGGGGATACAGTATAATCAAGTGTCAGAAGCAACAGGCAATTTCCTGTTGATCCATCTCTTGTAAGGAACTTTGTGTTGGCAAGGAGAACTGTATTTGTCACGTGGGGTTTCCAGTAGTTAACGTTAAGCCATGGTCTTTGGAAGACAGCAGGACTCAACGCACCTGTTTGCAACAGGAGATGGGAAGCCAACGCAGAGACAAGTCAGGGGTGGAGGAACAGAGTGCGAGTTGGTAGCAAAGTCAGAATCTGAGCCCCGAGATTCAGCACCGAGTCGAGTGGAGCCTCAGGTCCTTTCCATCCAGAGGCTTGATTTTGACAGCATAATCGCAGAGGTGTGAAGTTTCTTCAAACCAGCCCTGACCCTTCCACTCACTGCGTAGACTCTGTTCTTCAACGATTTGCGGTTCGCCTCTTCCGAAAGATCAGGCTCGGGAATGCAATTTGAGGCACGCCCATCCTGAGGGGCACAGAAGGCTGCACAGGAGCCTGACATAAGAACTGGAGAGTCCATTCAGCAGGCCGGAGTGTATGTCTTCACCTCAGCGGGTGGAGCAAATTTCAACTTGCGTTTAATGCTTTTTATATTTGTTTAAGAGCTGTGAACATATCAGAGCTAATCTTAGCAATTTCCATTACTGATGGGAATGATTTCAATGCCATGTTCTCCTTAATGGTGCCTGCAGTGTCTCGGATTAATGGAGAAGCAATCATCGAAAGCACAGAATAGCAGTTTCACTGGGAGGGGCAGGTGGCATCAGGCGGGACTCGAGTTGGACTGAGGCAGATCATTAACCTGTAATGGTGGAAGGATGAGTATGCCCACCGCAAGTCAGCCCCCCGACACCTCTTCAGGTTTTTGTTTTTTGCCAACAATAACTTACGAAATACTGGCCTTGGTTGCATATTGGGTGTTTTTTTGCATGTATCTTAGTTGCGTATTGAGTGTATTTTTTTTTATGTTAACATCAAGTTAGTTGTGGTTTGGGGGCATCAGATCTTTGTACGAGAGCTCAAGGTGCCTTACAGCAGTGGTTGAAGTGTTGTACCTGAGAGCATATACAGATGGTGTCTCAGCGCTTCCTGCTGTCCTCTGTGTATTAAACCAGGGACCTCCCAGGAAAGCTGCAGAGGTTTAACAGGTGCCAGCAATAGAATTGGAAAACGGAGCTGCAGACTCAAATATTTGGAAAATTTTTTGAGAAGCAGAGAGACAGACAGGGAGCTCCCATTCACTGGTTCGCTCCCCAAACACCTGCAATAGCCAGGACCAGGCCAGGCTACAGGTAGGAGCTGAGAACTCAGCACAGACTGTTCACATAGGTGCCAGGAGCCCAATTACATGAGCCATCACCACTGCCTCCGAGGGTCTGCATTAAGAGGAAGTTGAGGAAGGCCAGCACTGTGGTGTAGCTCGTTAAGCCAACTGTGTGCAGTACCGGCATCCCATATGGGCTCCCGTTAAAGTCCTGGCTGTTCCACTTCCCATCCAGCTCCCTGCTAATGTGCTTGGGAAAGCTATGGAGGATGGCCCAATTGCTTGGTCCCCTGCACCTACGTGGGAGACCCGGATGAAGCTCCTGGCTTCCACCTGGCCCAGCTCTGGCCCCATTGTGGATGGAGAACTCTCTCCCTCTCTCTCTTTCTCTCTCTCTTTCAAATAAATAAATAAATCTTTAGGGAAAAAAAAAAAAAGAAGCTGGAATCAGGAGTTGGGAGCCAGGCCTGAAACCCAGGAACTCTGAAAAGGGACGCAGGCATCCCAGCCAGCATCTTATCCACTTGACGGAACACCTGTCCCTTGATGACCCAGATGTCACACCCACTTCTGCTCCCTCGCCAGAATGACCCTCTGTCCTTAGCCACCCGTTTTCTAATGACCACAGCAGCAACCTCGTAGAACGTTTATGAGAAAAAAAAAATCTCTGACTCCATGGTTGGGCACAGTTGCTGTCTCCTGTTTCTTTATACATGCCGCCCAGCAGAATACAATGCTGCGCTCTCCAACTCCCATGAAAACTGATGCTTCGAGAAGGTGTCAGGTTTCTAAGTCCAGTTGTGCCCTGCATACCCGCATCTGGGTACTTCAAGTTCAGTATGTCCCAAGCCAAATCCATTATTCTCCCTTTGCTCCCTAGATGGCCTGTGTTCCCATCATATCTGTGGCAGCCTTTCTCGCTCAGCCACATAGGCTGTAAATCTTGCACCCTTTCTCCTCTGTCCTTGTCCTCACATTTTCATACACATTCATTCCTTGCTGCTGCTGCTGCCAAAATGCACCTCGCCCTCTCTTTATTACCTGAGCTCAGCCACTCCTGTGCTGCCAGTTGAAGCATTGCGGCAGCTCCCAGCGTGGGCATCACCTTGGGACCAGCCCCCGGGGATGCCAACACCCTCGCTGTCCCTGGTTCCCACTTCTCAGTGGGCCGAGCAGCGACACAGGGGGCAGATTGTCCCCCCTGATGTCCTGCCTAGGAAGAATTCTCCATTTATAACTTGGTGCCTTTGTAGAGAAGCCCGCCGGCTGTTTTCTCCAAAGGAGTGGTAAGATAAATTCGCTTCATCAAAAGACCCAGACTGTGGAGTGTGCTGGAAGGCATAGAAGCACTTCTGTCCAGCTGCGTGCCCATCCCCCCGCCCCCTCCCCGTGAAGGCTCACTGGCCCTTCTGAGCCCCAGCACTGCCCTAAGCAGCCCCAGCGAGTTTTCATGGTACTCACATCTTGGTATCCGGCTCCCAAGACCCCCTGTCGTATGGAGCACTCTTCCTTTAGTTCAGATGTCTGTGTGTCAAGTCCACAGAACACAGGTGTGGCCAAGATAAATGCATCCAGCCCAGCTTTAGGGCTTCTGGCTTTAGGACACTGATGCTACGTCCCCTGTGTTTGGGCTGCCATCCCAGGACAGGCACTTGTTCACCGTTGATGTATTCTTTGGCTGTAATGCAAACCGACAGCATCAGTGAGAGTGTGGGCTGCCGAATCACCTCCTTTCAACAGATTAGGAAAAACAAGGTGCATGTATGTTATACTGTGTGAATTTTGTTTATTTATTTTTGAAGATTTTCTTATTTGAAAGGCAGAGGCAGAGAGACAGGGAGAAAGAGAGAGATCTTCCATCCACTGGTTCACTCCAAAAATAGCTGCAACAGCTGTGGCTGGGCCAGGCTAAAGGCAGGAGCCAGGAACTCCATCTGGGTTCCCACATGGGTGGGCAGGGCCCTAAGCTATGGCCATGATCTGCTGCCTTCCCAAGTGTGTTAGCCATATCCGCACTCCGATAGGGGGCATTGGCATTGCAGTTGGCAGCTTAACCCACTGCACCACAACGCTGGCCCTAGGTAATATGAATTTTACGCTCACCGAGTTATGGCCCATCCTCTCGTCCAGAGCAAGTCTCTCTAAGCAGCCTGGGGCTGCAGGGCATTTTCCAGATGGCAGGATTGGGGGGGGGGGGAGGGTATGCTCAGAACTGGCCTCCCTGGACCAGTTATGTAGCCTCGGAGATACCTGGCCCCTCTAACTCCTCATCAGCCAGAGCACCCGTGATGAACAGCGCTAGATTCCGCGTCCTAATAATTACCCATAAAGAGAAATGGAGGAGGGGATTTCTGTGATTAAACAAGTGCACGTCCCCCTTTTCCATGGGGGAGGCGTCCCAAGATCCGCAGGGGCTCCTGACACATGGCAGATAGTACCGAATACTGTGCTCACGTATTCCGCGTTTTTCCTTTACATAGCTACCTGTGATAAAGCTTAATTTCCAATTTAGGTATGGGAAGAGATTAACAATAACTAATCATAACAGAGGACAGTGATGAAAATGTGCCGTCTAGAAGCTGCAGGAATGTACTTGCTGCCTTTGGGAAGAGTCAAGGCAAATATTCTTAATTCTGGGCCGTGGGTGGGAGAGCAGTATAGTAAGGATGACGGTTAATCTTCGCTGCATGCCTTAAAGCAGGCTTTATTAGCTACAGGTATTGGGAAGGCCCACGAGGCTCGGCTCAATTCTGCCCCAGCCTGGCGCTGAGGTGAGATCTCTGTTCACTTGGGTCTGGCTGCAACCCCCATGCCCCTCCCCCTGCACCACACAGCGTCCATCTCCCAAGAGACAAGTGACGCCGTCCTCACTGCTTATCAGGGTCTCCCCTGACCCCCGCACAGGCAGGGCCTTAGTCCCTGATGCTGGCCCGCCCTGTTTTCCATGCTTAGAACTCGCAGCGTCCATCTGCACAGGCAGGGCTCCAGGATAGCTGCACGCCAGCACTGGGCAGCAGGGGGCGCTGTAGCGAGCCACCGCAGGCCAGTCCTGGGGCCTCACAGCCCCTGTCCAACATCTCTGGTAGAGCGCCCTGTGCAGTCCCTGCAGCTCCCTTCCGGCCATTGAATCCAGACCTCTGCATGCTTACCAGCTGCACCCCAACACGATACTGCGCATGGTTTTGTGTAGAAAACCAAAGTCAGCACATGCAAGCTCCATCAGCTTCCTCCCGCCTTACCCACAGACTTCATCTTGTCCCCACCCATGTTGGGCAT